CTACCATATAATGTATATTCTGGAGGGGGGGGGGGTCTACCATATAATATATACAATGTATATTCTTTACTGACATCACAGATATGTCAATTTCCCGGATCTAAGCACAGTGCAAGTTGACTGACCGGAGTTCAGATCCTAAAAACCCCAATGTACTGACAGATGAGATGTATTTGTGTTAGATGTGCATGAGTCTGCTTTGGTTACTAGCTCAATTAATACATTCAGCCAGTAACCACTTGCAGTCCGTCTTCGTTTGCCCCGCTCCAGCAGGCTTTCCCTCTGACAGTGATCACTGCCACTTACCCGGACTAGGTTGCTGACCGCCGCCTGCACAGCCGCTACAGGTGCGGTCAGCTCTGGGATGGCCTTGCCGTCTACCTCGCCTTCTTCATGCATGATGACAAGGTGGGAGATCTGCTGGGCCACCGGCTCCAGGATGCTCTCTATGGTCTTGGTGTGGAAGACAGGCATGGTGGCGGCTCTGTGGTCACTCAGTACTGAGAAGAAGCCTGACTGTCAGCTGGGAGCACCTCCACTATCCGCAGCCTGTGACTGTATGGAGGGTGTGTGCCTCCGTCTCCTCCGCCGGCCCTTCTACTATCGGGCTATGCCTGGCTCCACTCTCCGGACACTTCCACACAACACTCCCAACTCCAGTCTCTCCCCCGGCCGCTGCCTGACGTCTCCGCCGCCCCGCCTTCCCACGCACAAGGAGCCGGAGCGCTAGGTCCCGCCCTCCGCTGTCCCTTTCCTGCGATTCTATTGGATAGGGGAGCTGACAGTCGCCGCCGGTACGCTACTCCCGATCCTGGCCCGTGACGTCACGATGCGTGTTCGCCTTATAAGGAGAACCCTGGAAGCAAGAGAGGGATTCCTGGAGCCATGACGTCACCGCGGGAGAAGAGGACGAGGAATGTGAGGGGAAGCCAGACTGCAGGATCAGATGTTCCCAGGATGAGACCGCAAAAAGTGCAGGAAGAATAAATCTACCAGGAGGAACTCTGTACACTATGCACACTTTATAGTACTGAAGCAGCGTGTTTAAACTGAACTCTACACAGATGAATAAGTAGATATATTACATATATGGGGGCTTCTCACCCTCGCTGACAAAGGATTCGTAATTGTATCCATCCAGCCGTGAGATTTGCACACCTCTGCTACATAGCTCAGTCCTGGCCCACAGGGAAGAGACCTGATTTTTCTTTGCTGCAGTTAGGTAACACCTACAGGTCTTGTCCCTCACCCAGCCTGTGACTGGACAGTGAACAGAGAAGCAGCAAAGTGATGAGCTCATCTCTCTGCCCCCTTGCTTTCTCCTCCTATCAGCATGCTCCTTGCACTGCAGCACACCTGATTGGCTACTTCTGCTGCCTCTCTCTCCTAGTTGGAGCTCTGTTGTATAGGGATTGCAAGATAGTGATACCGGGTCAAAGTCAGATACTTGTATGAAAAATGTACATTTAAAGGAGAACTATGAGGTGAGTGCTTTTCACTCACCTCATAGTTCTAGCCGACCTGTGACAATGAGACTGTCACAGGTCGGCTCAGTAGATCGGGAGGTGGGCGAACACATACCGGGTTCGCTCACCTCTCGATCCTGTCACGGCTCTCTGCAGTGACAGGGGAGGGGCTGGATTCCCCTCTCCCCGCTCCGATCTGCCAGCGCTGACTGGCGGAACGGACGGGGGAGGGGGCGGGTACAGCTGGCTCTGCCTCTAGATAGGCAGAGCCAGCTGTCACTCACGCAGCTGGGCGGATCCCGTCATCTACGTCGGGATCCGCTCCGGCGTCTCAGTATACCGCGAGCATACTGAGCTTAGGGTAACGGGAGGACGCTAGTTTGTGTCCTCCCGTTACCCTAAGGAGAACTATGGGGAAAAACACTGACCCCATAGTTCTCCTTTAATGATGTGTCAATAATGTGTCTTTGGTATCAGCCTTTAAAGCTAAACTCCGAGATAAGCAAACATTGTCCAAATATAAGAGACGTGTATTCTTAGTGCCAATTTTAGTTGAGCCTGAGCATTTTCAGCCTTGATCCAATAGAAAGCTAGTTACTAGGAGGAGGAGACTGTTTCTTATTTACTGGAATCTTGGGGAGCTTTGTGCATTTCTGCCAGATCTGTGGATCAGTGTGAAACATTCCTTCTGCGCAGGCACTTCCTGTAATAAAGACCAGTCATTGCTGATCTCTCTTTTTGTGCACGGTGACTGGTCTTGTCTCCACCCCCTCCTGTCATTTTCTGCAGGCAGCCTGTAGTGGGTGGAGCCTACATGGCCCCTCCAACAGCTCTGCTCTCAGCACAGGCAATATGCAGCACAGTGATGATGTCAGTGCTACTTTTACAAGTAATATCTGTTTTTTAAAGGTATTTGTTATACACTATGTAGAAAGTTTTTGTGCCCGGAGTTCAGCTTTAACTGTAGCGTCTATATTTTCACACAGTCAAGATCAAAAGATGGATATAGTGCAATTCTTTTAAAAATGTGGCTCGGAAGGGGGGAATTTATCAAAACTGGAGCAGACAAAATCTGGAGCAGCTGTGCATGGCAACCAATCAGCCTTTATGTTCAGTTTAGGGTTCCCACACACCTTACGATAATCGCAGGAAATCCCGCGATCGTACAATTATCGTAAGGTGTGTGGAAGCCGTGCGACCTCTACTACTGTAAGGTCGCACGACTTTTAACTTACAAACATGTTCGAAAACCCGCCGAGCATCGTACGATGTTCGGCGGGTGTGTAACATGTCCGTAAGATAAAAGCTGGACCGGCCGGTGTGCGCAAGCGCACACTGCCCGTTCGGCATTGCGGTCATCGGAAGCCCGCCCCTCAGGGGGGCGCGGCTTGCGATCATCGCAAGTACGATCTGCCTGTCCAAGATGTGCAGATCGTACGTTTTTTTTAATTACCTTACAACCCTCGCAAGGCAAAAGTCTTGCGAGGGTAGTAAGGTGTGTGCCCAGCCTAAGATTTGAAAATGAAACAGAGACACTGATTGGTTGCCATGCACAGCTGCTCCAGATTTTGTCTGCTCCAGTTTTGATAAATTCCCCATGGCTTTCCCAACCATTGCGGCATTGGTGATGACTTGCAGTACACTGCAGATGTCCAGGATCTGTCCTGTGTGACAACCTCGGCAGTGTGCTGGAACTACAAATCCCACCATGACATGGCCTCTGGGAGTTATGCTTGTGGCTGTCAGTCTTGCAATGCCTCATGGGACTTGTAGTTCCACAGCGGCTTGAGTGCTGAGGTTTGCTTATCCCTGGTCTACACCTTGGGGGACACGTATGTGTTTTCAGTGACTACACAGATGGAAGAAGTCATTTCCTGTGTACATGGAAGGATTTCTTCATACGTGAACACTTGTGAAAGCAATAATTCCAGTCTTGCATCATCACTGAGCCCCATCACCCTCCCATGAGTGATTGTCACTCGTTTTCCTGAAGTATGACAGCGCTCAACAGGAAGGATCCCAATATTGTCAGTGGTGCCAGGTCACACCTGAGCGTTTTGTAGCTCGAAAAGGTACATAAGCCTTCTTGAGCAGAATGGTGCATTTTCTATGGGAGCGCCTGAAAAAGCACATAATGCGCATTTCTCGTGGAATGACGCACCCACCAGCCATCTGCTCCTCTTAGTAACTAGCTTTGCATTGGCTAAAACAAAAACACTCAATCCTGCAACAGAAAGCATAAACATTTTCTCATGTGTGATAGGGGGACAAAAACACAGTACTCATGTGTAAAACTAGTGAGCTGTGTAGAAGCATGAGTTAGATTGTGGACCGTTCAGGCAAGGCCCCTATATAAATGACAAGGTTGTAGTTGTTACCATACATGTAAACCCGCAGCACCATAGCACTGAGTCTGATAAAGCACTGTGTATTCTAACCAATTGTCACTTGTAAATAAAATACTTTTCTTTTTTCTTTTACCTTTGTTGCATCTCAGCACTGCTGATCCCCTGCAGCCACTTCCCGCCTACATCCAGCATTGGCTCCATGGCATTTCTTAGGATGGCTTTTCTGATGGTGACAACAGTGGGCCATGCCTGATGTGTTCTGAAAAGGTGTGGTCTCAATTAAAAGTTATGTGACAACCCTGGAAAAAGTATGAAACCCAAAGTCATAAATGAAGGCTTGAGCACAGATCCCCTCCTGATCAGAGCTGAAGGCGCCTGTGTGAAAGGGCCCCAAAAAATGTCAAGGAAGGTCCCATTTCCCCTCACTGCAATCCTGTAATGTCCAGAATGTCTGTTTTTCTGTTCATGTGGTTGGCTCTCTGCCTTACCAACAAGTCTGCACAGTACTTGAGGTCAAATGGCAGGCAGCCCCTGGCATGCTCGAGCTGCAGATGTATATGTCACCCAAAATGGGTGTAATAAATGATTAATGCGTGCATTGCATCATTTAAATGAATGGTCATTATGCACTGAATACACAAAAATCTAGTGCCTGTTGCATGTTTGGGGTTTTTTTTGCAGCACACAGTTGCATTATGCTGCTGCATTTTCATTTAGCCCTCGTTCACACCTGACCGTTTTGTAGGGCGTTCTACGCTCGACGAACGCTCTACAAAAACGGGCAAAAATATAAATTGCATTGTAGTCAATGCCCTCGCTCCCACCTTGCCGTATTTCCGCCCGTCCCTAACGCCCTACAAAACGGCCCACGCCTGAAAAGGTCCCGGGACTACTTTGGGCCGTTTTGTAGGGCGTTTTCCATTGGGATACAGCCAAGTAGCCTTTGGAATCGCGCAACTTTTTTACCGCGAAACGCGCATATTACAATACGCCTAGGTGTGAATGGGGCCTTAAAGAAGAACTCAGAGTAAAACTTACCCTTGTAGTGGTGCTACCCCCGTACTCAAGGGTTAAGTGCTTGTGGTGTCTAGGGGACCTAAATAAAACAGATACACTTACCTAGGCAACCTTGGCACTCCAGCTGGGGTGCACCCAGAAATCCCAACATGTCTCTGCCACTAGGACTCAGTCAGTCTTGCAGTGCCTCATGGGATTTGTAGTTCCACACCAGCTGGAGTGCTGAGGTTGCCTACCCCTGGTGTAAAAAGTCCTTTGATGAGTGCCACTTATGAACTTAAAGGAGAACTATGGGGTCAGGGCTTTTCCTCATAGTTCTCCGAAGGGTAACAGGAGGACACAAACTAGCGTCCTCCCGTTACCCAAAGCTCAGTATACCGCAAGCGGCAGATCGCGGTATACTGAGACGCCGCAGCTGAAACGAATCCTGACAATTATGTCTGGATCCGCCCAGCTGCGTGAGTGGCAGCTGGCTCTGCCTTTCTAGAGGCAGAGCCAGCTGTACTCGCCCCCTCCCCGTCCGTTCCGCCAGTCAGCGCTGGAGGATCAGAGCAGGGAGGGGAGAATCCAGTCACTCCACTGTCACGGCTCTCTGCAGTTACAGGATCGAGAAGTGAGCGAGCGCCGGTATGTGTTCGCTCACTTCCCGATCT